ATCAACTCTTTTACAACACTTAGCACATCAGTCATCCATTATGGGGTTTTTTTACTATACCTTGGCTTTCTCTAGAAATTCCTGGAGACCAAGAAAACCAGTTGCTTTTCAAATATTTTATCCATCTCCTCACAAAATAAATGACTAAGACTTAACACTTGTTTGTCAAGTCATACGACAGTGACAGCTTTATTAATGATCCTCCTACAAGTACCAAAGTCTTTTCTGAAAAAAGTTCATTCCTAAAAAAAAAAATGCAGAAATTGACATTGGCATTCTAAGCGATGACAACACCAACACTGAGTGGCAGAGAAAACATAAGTAAGAGCCTGGAGGAAGACAGAGAATGAGGAAATTGTGAACTACAGAAAACACAGCCAGGCCCAGAACACAGAAGACAGGAAACGACACAAGCGTGGGTACCAAATGATGTCACAGTAGCCAAAATTTGTACATCACATATATTGTGAATTAACAATGCTAATAACAATCCACTGGCATGGATGAACTCCGTGGATACTCTACCAGGGGTGTTGGGACCAGGCATCCATTCAGGAAATGTGGTAGAGAGTCTGCCTTGCATAGTTCTGCATAGTAGCATACAGTTGAGAACAGAGGCCAACAGCGGGTAGAGGAAACCCTTGACTCAGAACGCAGGTTACGCCCTGCTGCAGGATTCTCTTCTAATTAGCCAAATACGGCTCTAGCTCCATTTCCTATGGCAAGGTTGCCTACCGCAGAGAATGAGGTTACTTCCCTAACATCACAGAACTAGAAAGCATCTGGGGGATAACGAATAGCTTCAGATATGCTTGGATCATCCTCAAGAGATCACTGGATACCTGGGTGGTAATCTTAGGAACACCAGAGAGAGAGTTTCTCCAGGGAATTGAGGTGTATTTTGAAACCAGCTTTTTAGTCCCACTTCACGTTCTTATTACATGACTCTAAACTCTATGAACTTTGGTAAATATCGATAGTTGTAGAGGGCCTTCAGGCCTTTTGTTCATAGGGTTGTTATGACTTGTGCTCGACTTGAAGACAATCAACAAGTAACCTTAGGTCAGGCAGAGCCCCATCGACCCTGAAACAAACCAATCATCAGTCTATAGTAGCACTAAATGTGGTACTGTATATATGAAAAGAAGCATTTCATATCATTTATTGAGTGTATAATTATTTAAACTATAAAGGGACATTCAACAATATATTAATAGTATTGTTGTTACTGTTATATGCTGTCGAGTCACCTGCGACCTATAGTGACCCTATGTACAGCAGCTTTGAACTCTGCCCTGTCCTGAGCCAGTCTCACTAACTAGGATACACCAACCCCCATTGCCCCAGTCACTGTATCAATCCATTTAATCTGGGATCTTCTTCTCCTGCACTGTCCATCCACCCTTCTGAGCATGTTGTCCTTCTTCAAGGACTGGTCTCTTCTGGCCAAGTGCCCAAAGCATTTGAGCCAAAGCTTTGAAATCCAAGCCTCCAAGGAAAAACTTGGTTTCTCCTCTCCAAGACAGCTTATTTGTTTTCTTTGAGGTCCATGGTATGTTTAGGACTCCTCTCCAGCACCACAATTCAAAGGCATCTATTCTTGTTCTGTCATCCTTAGTCATTGTCCAGCTCTCTGAGGCATAGCAGTAATTGCAAAGACCATCATTATTATGTAGATTATGTCCATTTCTGGGAGCAACTAAAAGTACTTAGTAGATTTCAGATCTACTAATGGAATGGAAGGGAGCTCTGGTGGCTTTAGTGATAAGGATTTGCGTTGTCAACCCAAAGGCTTGCTATTCGAAACCACTACCTGTCCTAGAGAAGGATAAACAATCTCGTCCTGTAAAATTTACTGCCTCTGAAAACCCCCTGGAGAATCAGGTATGAGTTGGTTCCAACTCAGTGACACACAACAGCAATGGCAACAACAGGGAACAGATGTACATTAGCCTGGGGAAGAGATGGAGGAAATTTACAGGAGGTGTAAAAAATCAAATATCAGAGAGAAAAAAAGCAGGCTTTATTGCATTATCTTAGAGATGAAGAACATACAAAGTTGTGTCTCAGTTGTTAAAATAAACTTTTCCACTCCCTTTCATCCTTACATTTTACAAGAAACAAAGTCCAAGGATACTTCTGGAAACACACAGGCATGAAAAAGACAGGCAAGCACTTGGTTTACCCAGCTCTTTAAATAAGAGAACTGGCGAGAATAAGTAGAAGGCAAAGATTAGGGTTGCCTCTGTGCTACATTCTTCCTCATGACCAGACAGGTGGACTTGATGTCTGTAGCTGGGTAAGAAAAGAGGTCACAGTGAAACCAAAAGGAGCTTCTCCCACACTCAGTAGATGAATCAGACCCGTGAAGGCAAAGGAGTTGTTGTTGTT